CCTGTTGGGAAGTGTGGCTGGCAGGTAGGGAGATGTGATCGGTTTCTGGTTTTGGGCAGAGCGGAAGTGTAGCCTGGGGTTGGGGAGTTTGTTAAGAGCTGTGGAGGTGGAGCGCTCGGGGTTGCGGTTGGGGGAGGGGAAAGGGGCCGAGGGCGTGGAAGGGGGTTGTGTCGGTTGGGGGGGCGCTGCCGATGTCGATGGTGCCGCCGACGGGTGGGGGTAAGGGTAGGGGGGGTGGGGTGGGGGAAGGCGAAGACGCCGGTGTTGGTTTGTTGTGGGAGGGAGAGTGAGGCGGTGGATGCGGATGCGGAGGAGGTGTTGGAGAGGGAGTTTGAGCAGGTCAAGGTGGTGCGGTGGAAGAGGGATGATGATGGGATGCCGCGGAGTCGGGAGGAGGTGCTGCCTATGATGCAGTTCTTTGCGGAGAGGTTGAGGAGTGGGTGGCTTTAGGGTTTGGAATGGGATGGGATGTGCGCAGGCCAGGGAGGGGCGAAAGCCGAAGGGCAGTGGGAAAGTGGTATCACTGGAATGCAATCGCGGTTTTGCAAGGGGTACTGTACACCCAATGGTCCGAAGAGAGGTGTAAATGAAATAGTTGATGCTAACTTGGCGAACACCGCTGCTGCCCAGGCGGCAGCATGATACCATGGCTTGAAAATTAAGAAAGGTGAAGAAGGAAAAATATCAAGGCTTAAGAATGACTGGCCCCTCAGAAGGCCTCCCTCTCGCAGATCAGTAAATGGCAACGAAATGCGCGGACTCGCGCTCGACCCCCTTCCTGGTCACCTTTTTGTGCAAAGGACCATTGCCATGTAGGACGCTCCTCATGCCCATACCGATGGCGCCCAAACCAACGCCAAATCAAAGCTAACCATGCAGCATCTCGGATTCCCGCTGCTGCCCTGAGACTGTAACCAGCCCAAAATCCGCCTCCGTATTGCCTAGGCGTTCACCCATTGATCCCGACCCTTCTTGCCGCCTGTCCTTCTCGCACTAACCCGCTAGTAACACTAGAGCTCGCCGATGGCCAGCTCGAGATCTCTCGCTAGCTTCAAAGTGAGTCCGAGACGTGCCTGCCACCCCGAAACAGCCTGGGATACGTCTTCGACCATCTTCTTCATAACGGCGGACGTGGGAGCATCGAGTCCACCATGATCCCTGTACTCGAGAAGGCATTCATGTAATCCCGTGCTCTGTAGTTGATTCCACCTCTTCAAGCTGGTCGAGCCCGTGTCAAGCAGATCTTGCTTCACAACGATGACCAATGTGATGGTTTTGTCAAGCGCTTCCACTGTCTTTTGACATTCGGTCGCAACTGATTGAAGCTCATAAATCCCGATGGTCTTTTTCCGAAGGGCCTTTTTGATGAGAGAGGCCAAGCCCTCGGTCTCTTGATGGGCGCAGTCGTTGAAGTAGTCGACATCCCTAGCGGCCCAAATATGCCTGCATCTGCTCCCTGATCACTTTGTATGCCGGGCTATGTTTAAGCTTCCAAACCATGGTGCCGAACTGGGTGCGATAGTCACGGCGGTGTCTGTCTGGGTCGAACCTAAACAGACGGCCCTCCGAGTCGATCCCTATATCCCCCATGATCGATCCGGTCTTCATCGATTTCTTTCAGGAACCGAATCGAAGCCAAAGCGTTCATGAGGACATCTCTGGTAGTTGATTTAGGGAGACGGCCTTTGGAGAGGTCATCGTCCAGTCCCGGGCACTCCGTCAAGCGAGCAATTTATTTTTTGGACGGGCGGTGAGGCCACCAAGATGCGGCTTCTAACAACTCTTCATTAGGCCTCTCCTTGTTAGGCGCCTCCTCATCAGATTCCTCATTGGAAGACGAGTAAGCCGACTCGTTCTCTTCAGGAGCGTTTTCGTCGGCAGGCACATCTTTCATCGTATCGTCTTCAGCATCGTCATCTTCCGTCATCGGTCCTTCAATACTGCTGCCCGCAGAGTCATAATCCGATTTATCGGATGGCTGCAGCGTCGAATCGGGGGTGGGGCCCTTCTTGAACTGAGCCATCAATTCTTGTGGTTGAAAACTCTGATCAAGGGAGAGATCATAAAGAACCTTCAGCTTCGAGAGGGGAATTGAGGCATGGCATTTTGTGTTCATTGTAACGGTCGTTCTTTTGAGCACCTTGCTTGGAGAGTC